GATGAGGTTTGACCTGAACCGGTGAATTGAACGGTAGAGATTTGTCTAGATGCGAATTGATGATGACTTGTAACGGATGTAATTGTAGTCTGCCTCTGCCTGTCATGTCTTGAGCTGAGCTGAAGTCGCGTAACCCCAACAGACTCTGTCACTGTCGTAGTGGTAGCGGAGATAGTAAGGCTTATGGAAATGACTGTTGGATCTTGATCCATGGTTCTCCGGTACAATTATACGATTCTGCGCCGTTACAAATCAAAAACCTAGAATTAGCAGATCTTGCGAAGGTTCTAGGTCCAACTTAGTAGGTTTACTAACCATCTAGTTGTGTTAGTAGCTTGATGATGAATTCAACTGTAGTCTGAGACGCTATGGATTTGGATCCATTTGTATCCCGTCGTCGAGGTAAATTAAGCTCGCGAAGTGCTTGGCGATGTAGGTGCACAACCAGGGGTGACTGCCATCGTTGAACTTTTATGTAAAAAATCGCCTGACTGCCGTGCCCTCGTCCTTACTTGACAGGGGAGGTCTCTAACCTCAAAAAGGCAGCCCAATCATGAAGGTTCAGATTAGCTGGACTGTAAGGAGGCTTGCTCGTTCACTGATATATTGTTGTCACTTGCAACCTATGTGTTGAACTGTGAACTATGATCGACCTCTGCGTAGGGCGTTGTCCATCTCGGTCCAATCAGAACAAGGCATTTTGATTCTGTAGAGTACCCACGCTGTGATGTCACCGGTGTAGCAGGAAAAGGAACCTTGTATAATATAGTGCCGTCGTTGATATTAGAACAATCGTCGGTCTTCACCATAGCTTCCCGAAGTTACCCGAGTGACCACGTGTTTCGAGGGTTGATGGTAAACGCGCGAAACCTCCGGCGCGAAATACCTCGCTCTGTAATATTAATGCTGGGTATATTTTCCAGGCTGTCGTGAAAGTAACTTCAGTCTTGAAGATAATTCCGACTTCCTTATATAAGGTTCAATAAACCTTGCAAGTTGTCAGCTTGTAGACTGTTAAAGCTGAACTTGTTGTACATATTTCTTCTCAGGAAATCATTGACGATTATTAGTTTTACTCGTTGTAACAAGGCTGCTGTTCAATTTCGTTATTGAATTGTCTGCAGATCTGCGTAATGGTCACGCATGTAGATAATCGTAGTCGATGCCCTCGTAGTAGGTAGTCGGCTTGAAGATCCTTAATTAGGCTCTTCATCTGTTGATAAATTAATACAGCGACTTTCTGTGTTGTAAATAGCCTGTGCAATTGTCTTCGCGTAGGCTTGTAGGACGGCATATGGCTTACAGTTGATAGACAACTCATGCGATGTCTTGAGCGGACTGGCGAGTGGCTATATATGACGAGTGGCTAGTATATGGAGACCTTGGAGGAGACTTCCTCGGCGAGCGCCGGGGACTTAGCGAAGATCTCGAAGTAGCGCTTCTAGATCTTCTGGGTGAAATAGACTTGGAGCCACTTAGCCTTCGCGACCTTCAGCGAAAAGTATCGAGTCAGAGTCCGATCAATATATGAGCTTGCTTCCTTGAAGCGACCTCTGTGTTCTACAGGGTGTGGGCTCGTGGCGCTCCTTAACTATATATGGCTTGCTTGCAACTGGTCGACCTCTGTGTACTACAGGGTGTGGGCTCGCGGGCGCTCCCCGCAACTCAATATATGGCTTGCTTCCGAAATCGACCTCTGTGTTCTACAGGGTGTGGGCTCGAGCGACCTCCGCTCACTCAATATATGGCTTGCCCGCGAAGCGACCTCTGTGTTCTACAGGGTGTGGGCTTGGGAAGCGCTCGGCAGCTTGCCACGCGAGCGACCTCTGTGTTCTACAGGGTGTAGGCTCGGCGGCGCCTTCTCCGCGCGATGTCCCTCGCCTCTAGTGAGGCTCTAGCTCCTTCGCCGGAGGGTGGCCTGGGACTTCCTTAGCGAAGTGATAAGCTACGGGCTGGGTTGCCCTTCGCGGAAGCGTCTGTGGGCTCAAAGGCCCTCACGCCAAGCCAAGGCGGGCTCTAAGGCCCTGTATGACTTAGTATGGGGTGGGCTCTGAGGCCCGTGGCTCTGAGGCCTCTGTAAGCCGTAACGGTCTTCCATCAGCCTCATGATTTGGTTGACCAGGTCGTCTGGGATGGTCTGCGCTGGCGTTGAGGGTGTCCTCTCTGTGATAGTGACGAGACCCTCAGTTATAATCTCCGGCGTCAGCGTAGGCATCTCTGATTGCATGTTGATCTGCTGAAGTGACGGTAGCCGATACTGGTCACTTCTTATGACATACATCTGGAATGATAATCGAAATGTCATCATCATATAAACATAATTCTGAATATCAGAAGCAAAGTTTTTTAGTAGCCTTCGTGGATTTCCCTTTGACGAGGCTGTAGACCTGGGGGTTCGGGCGCGACGTGAGAGACGACGTGGAAGCTCTTCTAGTTTTAAACTGTGATGAAGGAACGTCCTGGGAAGCAGGTCGCTTCTAGGATATAGCGGACTGCGTCCCACACTTATCCCCCGAAGGTAACTCTGACTACGATCTATTAGCCATGACTGAAGATTGTTTCCGAGATTTATCTGCCTTCTGTCTCAAAACGGAACATAAATATTTATCAAAGGCAGAAATTGGTAAATTAATACATAATTTACAACGAGAAACAATAGAACATGGAGTAATGCAACTAGGGCATTTTAAATGTGGATCGGTAGCAGAGTAACGTAATTTACAAACAGTGCAGATTTTTATTAACGCAAACTGCTGAGTAAACACGGCGAACCGTGAATCAAGCAGCAGAAACACGAATAATTATCAATGCATGTTGAATAATGATACTAGTTACACCTCTATAGATGAATATAAGAGGTAACAAACTAAATATAAATAAAGGATATAGTGTGCAGGGAGACACAGGTGCTCTCACGTCTTGCTCACTGGGCGAAGAAGGAGAGAGTGAGGCACATGGGTTCGGGTGGCGCCCTCGTTCCCGCGCTTGTGGAAGGGAGGTAACTCGTGGTGGGTACTAATGAGTGATTTTTTATTGAAGGGAACTTCAATTGGGAGATACAAGTGTTCCACTAGGTTCGCAAGAAGAAGAAGACAAGCAATAAGCATGAGTCAGGATAAGGAAAAATAATAATTATTAAATTCAATTTTTGTTAGTTGCTGACATAATTTACAGCGAGGGCTGGAAGTACATATTGTTGTGCAACTAGGGCACAATAATGCGGGTCTGCAGCAGAGAACCTAAACCTACAACGAAAACAGGTTTTCATGAAATGTAAACAAACTGAACAATCACGTGAAACCATGAATAAACAGTCAAATTTGCTAATAAATTTCAAACCATATTGTAGAAGGATACACCCTGAAACCTTATAAAGGTAACTTATAGGGTAATAACTAAGTTAGCAAAGGATATAGTGCCGTGTTGGAGACACAGGTGCTCTCCCAACCGTCCACTAGGGCGAAGAAGGAGAGAGTGAAGCGTAGGAAGACGGGTGGCGCCGTTTTCCCGCCAAAACCGAGAGGGAGACAACTCGTGGTGAGTAGTGATTTTACGTCTGCTTTATTGAAGGGAGCTTCAAAAAGGAGATACAAGTGTTCCACTAACGTTCGGGAAAGGAAGGAGACAAGCAATAATACATGAGTCAGGATAAGGAAAAATTATATGTTTTGTCTCTCTTTATTTTTGTACTTTTGTACAAAATTTAACTTGATGCATTAAATAAAATGCATTCATACGGAGAAATATATACAAGGATATTATATGTCTGCATTCAATAAAAGGAAACATTATTTCACTGACACATTTTCAGTTTGTAGGACTGTTACACACGATCACCATACTCCGAACAAGTGTCCAACACAATCAATGTAGCCCATTAATCCGATGGGCTCTGTAAGTTTAAATCCTTTTGGCATGAGTTGACCAAATTATGAATGTGGGGTGTCCATGTCATGTGGTGGTCGAAAGTTACTCCTAAGAATTTAGCTTCCTTTTTAATTCAACTTCTTGGTTATTTAGGTGCAGTATGGGGGTATAATTTTGCATTCGCTGTGTTTTGAATAGAATGCCCACGGTTTTTATACTTTAATATGGAAACCCCATTTTTTATATGATTTAGCCTAGGTTTTACTGGTGATTTGTTTTACAGAGGAGGAGGCCCAGAATAAAATGTCGTCTGCAAATTTAGCTGTAGAAATAATGGTGTGATTATTATGGGAAAATGTCATTAATCATAAAATTAAACAAAGTTGGGGACAACTCTCCGAGTATAATGGTGTTGAGACCTATGAATTTTGATAGTACATCTAAATCATGGATAGTAAGTTTATTGGATGGTTTTCTGTCTACCTTTTTAATGGTAATTTGTTTGTTATTAAGTTTAGTTTAGTTGCCAGGACTTCAAAAGTGTGAAATGCTCCACATTTGTGAACCCTTTAACTATTAAAGAAAACATGTAGTCTAATCCAATACAAGCCGACCCCTTAATTAATGAACTTAGACTCTCCCAGTGTGTTAACACGGTCTGAAATTCGACCGATCAGCACAGAACACTCAAGCATGATTCGACGGATCGGCACTGCTGACTGTTCAAAATTCGACGGATTAGGCCGTAATCCTTCGTAATCCGGACATAGCTGACTAAAATAACAGTCTGTTGAATAAACATCTCCATTACTTCTGTTCACAATGGTTAATTAATCAATTAATAAATTCTATAAACACACAGGTTCGCTGACTTGGTTGACACGTCATTGTATCCCAATTCCGTAGATTGATGCTCATGCTGTTGATCACTGGATTGTCTGGTCCAGACCGCTGCCTATGGCTGGCATATTGCTGATTAAGGCATTATACTACAAACAAACAAACACTGAACATGATAAGCAGGTAGGAAAAAATATCACCCTGTAAATCCTACAAATTAAAAAAACACAAAAGTCCTTGTGATAACACCAGAATGTGGAGTTAAGCAGCAAACCATCTGTTACCAAGGATACCACAAACATGTTGTTGTTGATTGGTTGGAAGAGGCAACAGTGTAGCTCCGCCCCTGTCCCATCCTCCATGATTCTCATACACGATCCTGAGGACACGTTCCACAGTCTGGCTGTGCCGTCCATTGACACAGACAGTATTACATCATTGGACAGGGACCACACAAAATCTGGCAGAAAAGATAAAGGCACAACTTTCAAACTGTTAAACCACCTTTCCTGTTCAGGGTGTTGATTATTTTGACATTATGCTAATTTTACCTGTCAAGTTTGGTTTGAGTTATAATTCCATCCTATCTACAGGATCTTGTTCAGTTTCCTGGAAGTATTTCCCAGCTACATTACTGCCTATCACAGTGGAGGACACCATGAATGCACTTCCACATGTGGTACCCATGAGGCAAATCAAACAGATTTTCAGTGTAAAGACAACTTGACTACCACTCTAAGGCTATGAAGCAAATGGGCCAACACTGCATAATCATGGAGGCTCATGGAGTTGCCCTTACCCTACCCTGACATATATGCCAGAGTTAGCGCTATTGAAAAACCACCATCCTTGGAAACACACTAACCACTCCTGATCAAAGACAAAAAGTGAAATTTGTTTTGCAATACAAGATGGCAGGGTCCACAAAACAGCTATAATCTTGAATCTTTATTCAAAGTTAACTTTTAAGGACTTATAGTGTACCTATTCTGAGGAAAGATGTCTGTGTAGATTCTGAAAATATTTGATAACCTGCACTGCAAATCCTACAGTCAACATTAACAGTGTAATCTCCAATGGGCTGAGCCATAGATCCTAGTAGTGATACATAAAACACTGAGATATCCAATGATTGGGTGACCCACATACTGAGCACTATACCTCCCTCCACAGGGCAGCTCACCTGTCACTCCAGCCTTGTGTCCCCTCAACATACAGATCACAGTGGCCGGTGGTGGTACCAGTTGACAGATTGACAGAGTGCCGTCCACTGACGAACATGCTACTCTAGACTTGTCATCATGGGCAAACTTCACACTTGAAACTGTAAGACAAGGTACTACTTCAAGTACAATAAATACACCCTACTGGGTACACTACTTGTACCTGTACAACTGTGTTAACTGTATTGCAACAAATAACATGCACAGCACTGAATAGTTTAATGTTCACTTAAATTATTGCATTTAGAAGTGATTCTTGTGTTCCAGTGACGTGCACATGTGGTTTCCAAGCATGATTCAACCAAAACCATATTCTTCAGAGTAAGCCGTGAAGATCCAGGTTAGAATTGATCTTCAGTAACCTGTGCATGTCATAGAGGCAAATAACGGGATCGAGTGGTCAGGCTTGCTGACTTGGTTGACCATGTCATCGTATCCCAGTTGAGAAGATCGATGCTCATGCAGTTGATCACTGGAATACCTGGTCCAAACATGATTATTTACAGACCGCCACCGGAATATTGCTGAGTGGGTCGTAAAACTAAACTCACTCACTCACTATTCAGAGTACTTGGCATGGTTCGGCGACTGAGTTTATAACCTGACTCTCACACAGGTAAATACATGTACTTGACTGTATGTGCAAAACCAATTCAGCTGGAGGCACTCATAAAATCTAGAATACGAAAAGGGGAGTAAGAATTCACTTCCTGGAACATGTATTTAGCACTGCAACAGCTACTACTTCATGCAGTAAGAACAAGGTGGACAGAAATTTGACACATCCCACAGAGAAATACATTGGTGCTGGTGCTGATAGATATGTAGGAACAATTAACACGGATGGTCCATACTCACCTGAAGCAGAGTGCTGGTCGAAGATGTGATGCATACCGGTAAAGGCATAGTTCTCTGACAGACTCTTCCCTCCAACCATAGCTCTGTAAATACATGATAATGACTATGTACTCAGGGATGGTGTTCACAGAAATAGTGCATTGAGAAAATGCTAAATCTGTGTGTGGCAGGGATTTCATGATTCACAGATACTGTTGAATTGCAAATATTTTAATGTGCATCAGACAATGTTTTAGACTGGGGTGATCAACTGATTTCAAATCAAACTATTGAAGCTGGTTTTATAGTTCTACCCCAATACCAGTATGAACTTAAATACCTTTAATTACACTGACTCGAAATCCTTGTTGTACCCATGAATGCTGATACCATATTTTACGCTGAACCAGCGACCTTCCGCTATCCGGGGCGGACAATTCTAATCATTCATGAAAAGTGATCATGACACGGTCATGTCAGAAGGTGATCTAGAACAAGAAAGAAATTCAAGAAAAACACTAGTAGGTACAATCCAAATACTATCAAACACTGTCATATGCTTGCCTTCCTTTCAAAATAAGGTACAGTCACAATACTGTCAAACACTCTCATATGCTTGCCTCCCTTGCAGAGGTAGGTACCATCTCAATACTGTCACATACTCTCAGCATCTTGTCTCCGCTGAAGAGGTAGGTACAATCTCAATAATGTCACATGCTCTCAGCCTCTTGTCTCCGCTGAAGAGGTAGTTATAACCTCGATACTGTCAAACACTCTCACCTGCTAGCCTCTGCTGCACTGGTAGGTACAACCTCAATACTGTCAAACACTCTCACCTGCTAGCCTCTGCTGCACTGGTAGGTATAACCTCAATACTGTCAAACACTCTCACCTGCTAGCCTCTGCTGCACTGGTAGGTACAACCTCGATACTGTCAAACACTCTCACCTGCTAGCCTCTGCTGCACTGGTAGGTACAACCTCGATACTGTCAAACACTCTCTTCATGGGCCCTTCATACAGGTGTTTGAGGGAACCGCTGCTCATGTGACGTCTATGGTACTTGCGCCCATCACTAAGAGTGATGGAATCAAAACTCTGAAAAAGGATCAAACTACATGAATTTGGATATTGGTACATGTATCAGTAAAGTTATCCTCACACAATACACAGCAATTTAATTCTGAACTTTATCATATAACACAGACACCAAAATGTGCTTCTTCCTCCTCTTGGGCATCACCTGCACTTGGTTAACAAAATGAGATACCAGTATCTGATCCCATCACTGTCCACTCATAAGAGCTTAACTTGATCGTCAGAGTCCCATGCTCATGCACCAGTGTCAGAATGGTTTTGTTAGGGTAATATTCTAATATCATGAATATCCTAATTTATCCCAAGCCGATAATTTATCCCAAGCCGATTATTGCCTGTGTATAACAGTATGTCATGGTGTACTTACCTCCCCTGTGGTTTTACAATTGCTGCGGATGCTGAAAGATCGACTCCTGATGCTCCTGTAACAGTACAACATAAAAGTTAATAGCAGAGATGGAAAATAAATCATGTATGGAGTACTGGTCACCTACACTTAATCCACATCACCATAGGGACCTTGCAAGATCAGTCATAACAAGGTACAATGCTACGAATGTGTTACATGGGAAGAAAAAGCAAGTTATACACTCCTTGCTTCTAACAAATGGTTAGAATCAATCAATATCTAAATATATATGTATATGTATAAATATAAAATATATAATACACTCACCCTCCATCCGAGAAAGCTGGACTTCCATATCTTGATGTGAGGAGCTGGGCTCGCATATGAAGGTAGTCTCGTCTTGCTGTTTGGTCACGCTAAACATGGACAAACATGGATAATTTTGGGTCAGTATCATTTAAATTTAAAAAGAACTTCACATGGATAAATAATGCCTGAATATGAAATCGTATCTAACTCAAAACTTTGAATAGCCTGACTTTGTTTACAATTATAGACAAGATAAATGAAGGATTTTGTGTTAGTGTTAAAGTGCCAGCTTGAAAGATACAGTCAAATCCTGATGAGTCAAATCGCTGGGGACCAAGTAATAAATTCGACTTATCGATGTATTCGAGACATAGGTATGTCTATGAGGGTAGAAAAAAAGATGATCCAGTCCTAATTCTTCCGCCTAAGCATTTGTTTATTTAATGATTTCCATATCACTAATAGGGACACCTTATCAGTTCCAGTCTGATTAGCACAGACAGTGATTTCCGTAAAATCACTAATCTGCCTTTTGAACTCACCCGTCAATGGCGCAAAGGTGTGAGCCGCGCTGGTTTGTTAATTGGATCAGTTTGCTACACCAATCAACTTCTCATTGACTGACTTCGGCTTATGTATACAAGATTGCTGTTGTTTGAATCTCATGGGACCAAATTTCCTTCTCGAGTCATCGTGTGTATTTATGAAACGAATTCGTGTAACCGGTATTCAAATGATGACAACTATAACAGGGAATGGTCGGGACCGACAGGTACTTCGAGTTATGCATAATATCCGAGACACCAGCATTAGACTCATCGGGATTTGACTGTATTTAATTCATAACCACCCATATCAGCTGGATGTGCTAGGAAAGGCCAAAGTGATGTCCAGGATTTACCTAGGATTCAAAACTAACTGCCCTTAGCAGGCACCCTCAGGGTTTACACAGACATTGAAAAATGTGAGTCATGGTGACTCACAGTATTTATTTTTGGGAGTCATTTTCAGTATTTGGGAGTCATGAAAATCTTAGTGTAATACTTCTTTGAGTAAATCAAATTTTGGCAAAGATTTTGTTGTTTTGTGTTGTAGAACTATTGTCATTTATATGATTAGTTAATAAACAGTATATTTTTCACAGTTCAATTCAAACATAACAAAGTCCAGTATACTGTATACAGAGAGTTCACCATCAATGTACCTGACATAAATTGCAAGATTTTTTTCTATGTTGATATCACAGGTCTCATCCAACATAAGGCCAACGTATGGTCTGCTCTTTATGGCTTCAATTTGCTGTTCTTCCATAACATGGAAGATCGATTCCTCAATGATATGAGCATTTCTGGAAAAGTTACTGGAGTGTTCTACAACATTGATAACTTGTAGATTCATCAAATCTTTAAAAGTATCACTATCAGCAGGGATATTTTTTGAGCCATGACAAGATCAGTGTGCATTTGTTTAATGTGACCATCAGTCTGGTCACTACAGTCAATTTTGTCAGCATTTTAAAATTTTTGACAGATGTGCTGAAATACTGTTGCATTTCGTGAATTTTAACTGCATCACTGTGATCTTTAGAAGGTTGATGTCTCGTTCAGGTCGACTTCTGAAAATTTTGACAAGCAAATGTATATGGGTTCAATCTATATTTTGCCCGAATGCACATATCACAGGTCATGATTTTGCAGTTGGTTTTAGTGCTCATTTTTAGAAACGTCAGGAGATTTGTTTTTCTTGCTTTCATTACCGAAAAACGAGTCAAGCGACCACTGTTTCTTAGCAGGACAGACAATGCTAAATGACCAAATCATAAACATAGCGAATGACGTATTCAACTGCTATTTTCTGTCTAAATATAGTGAATGACATACACAAATACTATTAGCTTGTATCTTTACCGCATTCTAGCATGGCTCTAATTTTAGCCTCTCGGTGTTGCCTTACTTTCTGTTAATATCCCGAGCATTTTCAACACAGTTTGCAATAAAACGTAAGCTATCATTGTTTGTTTATCAAATTGATTTTATTGAACTGAATTCTGAGTGTCACTCATAAAACTTGAGTCAAACTGGACCCTTTTTGAAAAATTGTTCTTTATGCAAGAATAATGGTCATGTAAAACCCTGCACCCTGGAAACAATGAAATATAAAACTAAGTGTTAAACCCTTTTAATCTTCTTTATAGGTGTTATTGTCAATGAAATACATCTTTACAGTCCAATTACATTAAAAACTAAAACAACATGAATTGGTCAACATGAAATTTTGGTTTCGTACTGAGATTATCTGCAGACTTGATGTCTGAGCAGGTCCAGATAAATCCCTGAATTTACCACTCTAGAGAAACCCATAGGCATAAATATGGTGCTGACCAAACCAAAATCATCAGGATAAACAAGGATTCAAACCCATCCTAACAGGTTTCTGGCACATGTAAGGGAAGTAACTCCGCAATTGCAAAGCTTAATTAGATGAGCCATGTGCCATGTTTATAGGGGAAGTAACTCCACAATTGCAAAGCTTAATTAGATGAGCCATGTGCCCTGTTTATAAGGGAAGTAACTCCACAATTGCAAAGCTTAATTAGATGACCCATGTGCCCTGTTTATATCATGAAAGGAAATAATTACATGTCATGCATAAATATCAAAATATAGCCTGCTTGATGAAATAAATACCTCGCTCTTGGCATTCTCTCTTAACAGCTGGCTTCTTCTTCGTATATACAGAGTTCCTTCAAGAAATGTAAGACAGGTTAATATCAAATACTGTTTCATACTGCTAAAATGGTATTATTCTGCCTGACATGGACAATGGACTGTTTGGTCCTGAGTTAGTGTCAGTGTCTGAATTTGGTATTTCCGTTAAGCTTAGGCATAGTATGTCCGTTGGCAAGAATTAAGAAAATCAGCATTAGCCTGCACCAGTTCGAGCAGCCACACAAACACGCATTCACAATGGTAATATGATAAATTTGAAACCCCATTTCACACTTCAAAACTTTACAAACTCAACAGTGATTAGTGATAAGGGCTTCATGTTTACACCATGATGTTCAGTCAACAGGAGCAGGGCTTGATCATATTTTCACCATATCATTCTTATGTAACCATGTCAAACCACTGACATATGTTGACAAGGCTAAAACTAGAGGTAGGTTGAAATATACTTTTCAACTTTTGATAGGGACAATCAGATACATCTTTCTGTGTAAATATACATATTAAGAAAAATAAAAAATGAAACTATCCCTCTAGAAGGTGGAACAGTTTAGTTTATCAAGAAGATTATATTTATACATATCAATTTGTTGATATGGTCATATGTTTTTGACACACAATTTAGGATAAATAAGCACTGGTGATGTCACCATGCAGGTGTCTCAAAATATGACATGTACTGCTATACTGCATTTCCAATGTTTTGTGCACAACAAGTAGCCATCACTTGGATGGCAAGCTGATACCATAGCTCACCAAACACCTGTTAACAGATCCACCAGTATGTCATTTAGATAGAGATTACTAGAGAAAGGACAACTGATCATCAGCCAAGACTCCATCAACTCAGTGTGAGCCAAGTGCCTATCAAGCACACACACCAAGTCATATCTGTAAAATTTTCTTACACAGAACACCAAAAGACAAATGTGTTAAGCACACTGTTTTAATAATCTGTCCTGTTTGTATTTGACAAATAAACTTTCTTCAGTTGTCAATCCAGTAAATATTCACTGAAGTGTCACAAATTAAACAGTCCTCACATTTAATCATGAGCTTTTTGACAAACTTGTAACCAATAATGTAAAAGCATAACCTAAATCTGATTATACTCTGTAGAAATTAACATTGTATGAACAATTGTAACAACTGTTAATATAGATAAACTACATTTATGGAAACAAGTTGAACTAGCTTTCCACAATTTGAGATTTTCACTTAAATGCCACTACTTTGATTCTCACAGTTCTAACATGCACTTCCTCATTCTCCCCAGAAAGTAAGATACTACTATAGTACTAAGAATTGTGTCTCTTCAAGCAGATTAACTTCAATCATGAATATTTTACTCAGTTGGGTCCCCTCAGTTTAATAATATGCCTACTGATACGTTTATGACGTTTATGTGCAGCATGGCAAAAGCACCCAAAATATTCTGTCCCGTAACTCTGAATGTGATGTAATTGCACGCTGTCCCCAGCAACAGGGACGTCGGTGGGTGTGTTGTTTGGGCCACCAGGTTCATGTCATCTGTTTATTCAACGAAACATTTTAACAAAATAAAAATGTACAGGAATATGGTTTGGCATCAAAGCATAACTTACTAAATTGTGGGTTGTTTGGGGCGCGATAAGCGTTGTATTTCGCATCAAGAGCGAGCACCTGTTGCCAAAGTGCCGCCATGATGCATTCATTACCGTCGCTTGACACGTTAATAAATGTAAATATTTATAGCCCTTACTAATAGTTGGAAGACAAATTCCCCCGAGCATCCAAGTGTATATGTACAGTAATGTTCAATGACAATACAACAAAAATATGGCCTATCAGTGTGGAGGTATAAAAATAGATCCCGTTTTGCGTTTGTGTTGAATGTAAGCGACGAACATTTTCGCTGATCTCCGCCATATCGCGTCTATTTTCGGCGTTACTATTTATATCTCGTTCTGCTCTGGGTATAAAACTTTGCGACAGCCATTTTCTCGTTACAATTATCTATCTAAACACGGATCCTAGTGACACCCGTCCGATTAACAAACAACACACTCAAGTCAAAGACTTTCTCAGATATGCAGGCCATCAAATGTGTGGTCGTAGGAGACGGGTAAGTCCAACTTCGAACGAAGATCGACATTTTCTAGTCAGGTCAAAACTTTCCTCCATCTTATCATGGCTTTGAACGGGCATTCCATAACTAACTTGAATGTGGGTGTATATGATCGCGCGTGTAGCGTTTATTCTATATTATTAGTTAACAAATGAAGACAGTATTTACTGATGGATAATACTGCGAGATAATTTGCTTGAAAATGATCAAATTATTCCAGCCACGAGCTTTGGGAGCAACACTATTTCATCAACATTTTGCCTTGCCCTACTTGTGGGCCGGCTTACAGGAAGTTGGAGTTGTGGGCACTTCCTTAATTTGGAGAATTCTGCGTGTTGTTATTTGACTTCAGAAGAATATACAAGATAGTATGTGCAATTTATTATGTGTAATATATGTTGATGATATGTATCTGATGTGTGATTGAAAATTACTGTTAATTAACTGACTAAACTGTGCAAAGGTTTGATGGTTGGTAGCAACAAGTTGATCAGTCAACTGATGTGAAGCATGGAGGTGTAAGAAGCTCCTACACATGTTTCTTGCTCGAAACACTTGTATGAATATGTAATGAAAATGCATAAATGAAAATGCAGCCTCCCCACATCAGGAATTAATTAGATAACACCCGAAAGACCATGAAGATGTCAAATAAAGTTAAATTTTACTTTTTGGTTTGATAAAGTTGTAAGTAGGTTGTATCTTACAAAAATGAATTGTTTTGATCTATTAATTTGATCATTGTCTACTAATATTCTCCCTTGTATCCCTTGGAGCTGACTTTTTTTCTCAGCTTATAATTTTACTTTAATATTCCAAGTAACAGCGTGTTATCAGAAGTGTTTTGCTACCAAATAACAACTGATTTTATAAATAATGCCACACACACACACACTAATAACAACTACATTGTGGATGTTCTGGGTTTGAGTTTTGCCCCAGCAATCCATGTTGGCTATACTAAGAGACCAAATGGATGGTCTATTTGGGCTCTGTGACTTGGTTGATTCTTTTTGTCTTTGTACCCGTTACAATGTTGATCATTGCCCACAGGGTTTTCTGGTCCAGGTCTAGTCATCAGGCTGCCCACAGCCATCTATTGTGAATAATATCACTTCAGTGGATATGGTGGAGCCTTTCATCATTGTTGATGTTTCAATGACCAAGTGACATTAGCACCACAAATTAAAATAATGCACTCTTAAGGCAGCTTCACACAACAGACTAAAATTTGACCATTTATGTTTAAAATCACATGTTGACAAAGATATATTGGAGTTGTCAAACATGTTAGCAAACTAATGTTGCCTATATGAAGCCATCTCCAGATACGACATCATGCACATATATTACTTTGGATCAAGGACATCATTATTTAGTTCATCACATGGTATGTTAAAATTAACATAATTTAATCTATATGCAGTTAATCGACACAAGTGGTTATATTTGCAGAATAAAGATTAAGGTTCATGGTAAACTTTTCATGGTAAACTGGTTCATTTTCACATTCAGTTTTTTTAAATGTTGAATTTATTGTTGATATTGAAATCCTCATACCATTGAAGTATTTATGTGCATAGCAGCATTGGTATTCATGGTTTTGCTTTGACTTTAAAAACTAAGGGTTCATATGACAATCTCCTTATGACTAATTTCATGGTTCTTTACAAGAAATCTATGTGTCATGTAAAATAATGATATTGTGTAGTTTAATGGTAGATATAATGATTGCTTTACTCAAAGGAACTTTTTATTTCTTTTTAAGAATTTGGTACAGTGAACATTTTTGTCATCCATTGGGGCACAGCATACACTTTTTCTGTGTCAGTTTTGTATCTATGTGCATGTTAGAAATAACTGCATTATCCTGGTTTTCTCGTATATAGGGACAGTATGTTGCCCTGACCTTTGCCGATATATCAATCCCAAATACACAGTAATGTTTTCATTCCAGTATAGATTTTGAATAAAGAGTATGTATGAAAAGGTGATTTGTTTACTTCCTGTTTGTATACTTACTCATTGGCCATGGTGATAACTTGAAATGGTGACACTGAATGATTGACATATGATAAGCAACACAGATGAGGAAGTGATAAAGATTTTAAGACCTGTCACAGTATATTTTACAAAGCAGTGAACCATATACCAAGTGCATATATCATGATGGGTCACAGCAACCATGGCAAGAGTTCAAGTAGCCAGTGTATGGACTTTAGTAACTCGCAATAGATTCTGCCTTCCATGAAATTTTCAAGTGGAGAACAAAATTTTTGTCACTCTTGTATCATGGCACAACAGTGTCTGTACTGAACCTAATAGTAGTCATTATAACTAACACAAACTTGTCTTTGTGTATCATTTAGAGCCACGGTGGCTGAGGGTCTAGGCATCTGACTTTGTGTGCTGGCGATTAGGTTCCTGACTCTGGGGGTGTGGGTTTGAATCCCTGATGGGACTCGAACCAAAAAGCACTAGAATCTGAACTTTATTAAGAAAGTGTAATCCCAAATATAACATATGTTACATTTGACCACTTTCTAAAATGGCATTGTGTATTTCACAATTTAGACTAGCTATCGATGTAAGTCAGAGATTCATAATCATTAGGTATTGATAGGTTAGCGATATATATGTGAAGTATCTTGAACAAAAATGAAAGTATTGGCGAAAATGTTTTTTCAACATGACTTGGAAGTGGCCCATGAATAGTAACTTTGTGTATAGTGTGTGTAAATTAGAATTTAATTCTATATGATTAGTTTCTGTAAAAAATATAGATAACATGATTTTCATCATGTTCATAATGATAATCATTAAGTTTTCCCATGGAGTATATCTCCGATTATCAGTCTTACTGACCAGTGAATGTACATCTCAATATTTGTTGGGACAGTTCATATACTTCTTGTCCAAGTTAATGTTATTGTTAGCCATGATAGCTGAACTTACACAATCCTAATTGAAATTCAACTAATCCTGCGCTATGGACTTGATTGTTTTTAAGAATTGAATTCAGTTTTTGACTTCAGCTACTATCAAATATAATTCTGTTCAGTTTAGTCAGCTGACAATAATCTATGTAGTGAATATAAAATCGATTTACCATGATGGTAAGGGCAATGTTTTGTGAGGTTTTTGGTCGGTAGCCTTGGAGGTTTTGTCACTCACTATTGTTAATATCCTCTTCACTCTTCCAAAATGTTGCCTGGTTGTATCTCATGTGAAATATGAATTTTGTATATATTTATCATGATAACTGGTTTTTATCATGCTTTAGCAATAAATATTTAGCAATAAATTTCCATGTCATTATCCCATGCAGTGAATTTGTAACACTCTGTGTGGGCTGAAAGACTGAATAGGCCCCCTATAGTTATTTTTGTTGCATTTTGCATAATTCCTAGCATCACATAACATTCTAATGGTTTGACTGCCTATATAACGTGTGTATGGGTGGGTTTGGGATAGGGCTAGCTAAAAAGATAGAAAATCAAAAATATTGTTGATAAGTAAAATTATTAATGGTTATTGATATGCACATTGTATCATCGATAATATCATGTATAAACTTTTGTGGCAAAATAAATCTAATTTGCTCACACAATACACTAAGTTAGGTCTTTATTCATATACTTTTAAATTGTGTTAAAAAGCTGTTGTTTTAGTAATCCATGCATAAATATGTCGCCACTCACCAGTGATGTGAAATATATTCATTTATTTCAGACTTTCTTTTGTACCTTTGCTCATCGTTACTTCTCCAATATTTATCGATAATCGATTGATATTTAGTTATTGATCATTGATCTCCATGATCTGTATCATTGTATCAATAGCCAGTCCTAGTTTGGGGTGTTGTTGGTGATGTTCAGGGGTTGTGTTAGGGACCAGACTGTGGATACGTTGCTGCCCTGCCCATAAGCACTCATCTGCTTAGTAAGGCATGTAAGGAAGCCTTATGAAAGAATTCCCTCACCATAATCTCTTTACTGGAATCAGGTGTGAATCCCTACATCATCAATGCATGTATGGTTATTCCATTCTCAAGAGGTCCCTAGTACCTCAAGTTTGTCCAGAGAGCCAACTACAATAGGGATCAAATGGTCAGGCTGTGTGACTCATCTGATTGTTGCAGTCTTTAACCTTTCAACCTGAATCCTGCTTGTTTTCAGTTACTGGTTATCCTGATCCTGGCTTCCCAAATTTTCTTGTGTCTGCATGACTGGAATATTGTGAACAAAGTTGACTCACTCACTCCAAGATAATATTCAGAGTTTAAAGTCAGCATAAGTACAATTGTCTTGTAAAATTTAAGTAGTGACATTTTAGCATAGAGTTTCATTTTTGCTATTAGTATTAGGTGGATGGTGACTCAGTTGCAGATCATTTAAGTTCCAAGTAAAAATAAAGTTACTTTTGACCCCGAATTACATGATGACTTAATATTATTTCATGTGTATTTAGGGCAGTATTGCTATCATACCAGCCAATAACTGTTGCATGTTACTATACTAAATCTCTTCCTGCTTGTTTTTTCAGAGCTGTTGGTAAAACATGTCTCCTTATCAGCTACACAACAAATGCTTTCCCCGGCGAGTACATCCCAACAGTGTAAGTATACACATTATTTAAGTATTATCATATGTTCATTGTTTTGTATTGATGCTCATGCTGTTGATCACAGGATTGTCTGGTCCAGTTTTGATAAATTTACAGACCACCACCATATTGCTGGAATATTACTGAGTGTGGCGTAAAACTAAACCCACTCACTCACTCATTGTTTTGTAATCATTTTACTTTCATATTTTTGTATATTTTAAGTGTTCACCATGCCAAGAAGTATAGAAATTATTGAATTCCAGAAGATATATTACATACAATTGTTGTACGATCATCAGAGAAAACAAAAGTTGAATAAATCATTAATTTGAACTCCCCTTTACATGTAAAGATCCGGGTTAGAATTGGTCTTATGATGTTGATCACTGGATTGTCTGGTCCAGACTGGATTATTTACAGTTAACCTGATTATTTACAGGTTAACCTTCTTACCTTTAATTGCTATGGTGCAAACAGTAGTACATGGCCTGTGCAGTATTAGTGTTATGTCATTTTAAAAGAGACATTAGTTCAGGAGTCATACAGTATTCAAATTAATGGTATAGTTTGGTCTCTAACTTCACTCAGTGATTATATTTTTTTGAAAAAGTAAATCTAAGCATCATCGCTGTCATGCTGACAATTGTTTTTAAAATTACTCATCCCAAATCTGACTTGGACTTACTGACAATTTATTACTCATATTTTAGAATCATATCTGATCCTAATTTAGTAACATTATTCATTCTTAATCATTACACTTGTAATAGTTTAGGTCTTTTGTTTGAATGTGGTATCATTACGATCGAGTACTTCACATGAAGTGTTTATGTGATAGTAGAATTGTTATTGTTGTTTTGATAGCGAAAAGAAGCGTATATAATACTAATACTATATATGACTAATTTGTTTGTTGTATACATCCAGTATGGCTTGTGGGATTATTTTTTCAGTTGCAAAATAGTTTTTCTAGTATGTTTGTTATAGACAGTATATGTTGTGTACAGCAACAACAACAGCATGTATAACAGCTGCTCTATGCGGGTAGCATTTGAAATGTGTGAAATGTTGATTGCAAATGAGACATGTTAAAAATTGGAAAACAGGTTTTTGACACATACTTAATTACGAGGAATGTAGTCATGATGTTTCATTGAAAGAGGACTTTGTTCTTGGAAGTTTATATTTATATTATTTGACTCATGTCAGATTTGCATGTTGATGTATTTGGCAGGAAGCCAACTGCATCCCTGCACATGATCAGCTTAATTTATCAAAATAATCAGGATAGTATGTTGCCACGTTATTTCCCTTGCATTTTATATGCTGGTGCTTAGAAACCTTATTAGATTATTAACATGCAGGAAGGAACTGAGTGCCTATAATAAAGACTGAACAACTTGTCAGTTGCTAGGAAGTACTGAGATAGTTCTGGTTGGAAATCTGGTTGTATTTTTGATATGAGTAAACTGCCACATTAACATGTTAATCAACAGTTTCTGGAATGGAAATTGGAATAAAAATATTGATCAGGTATTGATTATTTTGGTGCAAATGTTTGTGTGTGTTCAGTATGTAGTGATAATCATGAAGATATCACCATAATTTGTTCATTAACACCACACAATAGCTGTTTTTTTAAGCATCAACAATAGGGGTGTCGCGATACTGATCGATGCATCGATACATTTTTACTGTCGATACGATACGCGATACATGCTTGCGTGTATCGATTCCTATTTTAAAACTTTATCGATTCAAATTTTTATGCTATATCCATCTCCTTCAAAGTCTTGATAGTAAAATTATACGAGACCGCTTCGATAAATAGATGTAGCTAGCTTTACTTAAAAAAATAGGTTGGAAACTAGCAGCTTTTGTGATTGGCTAGACTATTTTGATGGACCAATCAGCGAGTGCGTACGTTGCCGGTAAGGTAATGCTATGAAAAGGCGCGAAAATTATGTATCGCGATACGTATCGTATCGTGACCTTAAAATCGTGATACGTATCGTATCGTGAGATTGGTGTATCGTGACACCCCTAATCAACAAGTGGTAAAAGTAGGGGATTGTGATCATGATGATCAATATGATGAAAATCTAATGTTAAGTAATAGATACTTTGTATTTTCTTTGACAGAGTTTCAGATATTTTTTCCCGTGAGTTATTGAGAGTCAAACATTAGTAATAATAGATGAAAACCTGCTTGGTTCTAACCCCAAATTTAACTGTTACGCTGTATTTATTATACCCATATGTTTTGTTTATTCCATAAATTTTGTTGTTTGTATCAAGGTTCCACATATATGTTGCTGTTTATTATAATTATCACTTCCGCCATCACATTGCTACAACCTTGAGCACAGTTTGAACAATTTGTTACTTCCTCAGTACCAGGCCCATTGATTGAGAACAAGTATTACCGACCTCAGGGTATGATGCTTCATAATTCTTGAGCAATAATGTGTTAGTAATATCTCAATGCACATTCACTGTCACTGTTTTCAAAGGGAAGTAGCCAGCAGGCAATTTCCCCTTATCTGACAAAGCGTTTGATCTCGTAACTGGATAAGCATTGGCAGTACAAGTTGACCCACATCCCTCATTTTGGAGGTATTGTCTTGGGAAAATGAAGACATTTATCTCAACGGGAAATGTATGTTCAGTTTCTTCATGTTGATGGGAGCTTCAAGTGACATCCATCCTTGTGCATGTTTTGCTGGCTTGTGTAAATGAATAGAGGGCGATGTAGATGCATTTCCTTCTTCTTTTTTCACAACACTACATTATAACAGAGTGTTTAAATGTTTGAAGAAATTATAAACACACTGGTTAACTGCTGATTTTATATTAATTTTGATCTGTATGAATATTCAAAAGTAAGTATGTATGAATGAATGAGGGAGGCTCAAATTTAATGAATTTGTTTCCTTTATGAAAGCAAAGGCTACTTGAGACTTGACCTACATTGTGATAGAAGTCCTTGTATTATCACTTAGTCTTGCCTTTCATGATGTATCTGCTAGTGAGTGGTTATCAAGAAACCTATCATTATCTATTTGTCAGGAGCCAGTGGCTACATGTCTTAATCTTAGGATGGGTTTGGCAATTTAACAATGATTAACCTTATTTCAACCAGGAACATCAATGTCAAATAGTTTGTTACTATCAATCAGTGATAAACCTACAATTGTTAGTGCGTGAGTCCTGGGACTCGCTCTGTTAAAAAGAAGAAGAAAGGAAAATATCAGCTTGTAAAACATTATTGCTACTACATATCATACACCATTTGAAAGGTCTAATCCTAGGTACTGTTTATAAATATGAAATTTATTTTTTATCATATTATTCAAATAATACAACTACAACTTAAATAAGTTCATTTTAATAAAAATGCAAGCTTACACAATTATAATGTCCGGATAAACCACGATTTTATTCTTCAGTTTATTCAATTTGTTTACTTATTTCCACGAAACATCATTACTTTGCTGTTTAACTTTGACAACTTTGATATGGGCACATTGCCGAAGCATCAGTCCGAGAAAGCATGCATGATTAGTGAATATGTATGCATCCACAGGACATACATGTATAATATTTGTCAGTCCTTTCAAATTTTCATGTGTATATTACACAGGACGCGCGGGTAGATTTATCCCTGATCAATATGAACACAGATGACTGTCAGCTTTATGTAAAATACACCAAAACAAAGACTTTTACTGTTAGTATGTCTATGAGTGGTCAGTTGTAGACTGAGTGAATATGGTTTGACACTGCTTTCAGCAATATCGCCTCCGTGGTGTAGTGGTTAGAGCGTCCGCCCGGAGAGCAGAAGGTCGTGGGATCGATCCCCGACCGCGTCATACCATAAGACGTTCAAATATGGTACTTGTTGGTCCCTGCCTGGAGTCAGTATAATGTGTCTGAGTGGTGTATTCATGCTTCACTGCGGCATGGTATCTCAGTGGGCTAGCACTATAAAACCAGATTCAGTCTGGGCTAGTACAAGCCGCCGCACATACACATACATATACACACGCATACACGTCGTCATATGAGCGAAATATTCTCAAGTACGACGTAAACCCAATTTCACCTCACCTCACCTTCAGCAATATTCCAGCATTATCAGGGGGGAGGACACAGAAATGGCCGTAACACAAAACCATGTGGGGAATTGAACCTGTGTCTTCGGAGTGACGGGTGAATGCTTTAAGCACTATGCTACCCACTGGTTGTCAGTTGTAGCAGCTCAGGCAATGAAATATAGTATCTGCACTCCTCTTTATTTGTTCTTACTGATATCCGGGAATGCGGTGTACCCAAGGATAACAATATGTATGTAGTGTGACCACCCTGGTTTAAATTGAGTATTCTGACAATGATTTACTACGGTCAATACTATAAACAGAAGTAAATGAAACTTTCCATGATAGACCTAACAGCGTGTACTTTTTGGTATGGCCTATTTTGGAAACTCGTAAATATAGTGTTAGTTATCTGTTCCCAATCACCACCAACTTACAAAGATAAACATAATAAATATCCACACTCCGCAAAAATGTATCTCGCCCCACAAGATAAAGTCGTACGCTTATCAAGGGGGTATGTAAATTGGCAGCAGAAAGCTGGATCTTTGAAGCCATTTCAACCATGGGTGGGGGGAAGTGACCTATTTGTCTAAAATACATCATAATTACCCTGTTGATTGCCCCAGCTAATGTGTGACATGCTAGGGAGGAAGTATTGACCTGCCTGTGACCTGCAGACACGTGTCTATAGTGTATGTGAAGCCTGTCTATCAAATCCTGATGAATCATAAAATCTCACATCGGTAGTGCAAGGCCAGCTTTATGTACATGAAAGAACCGAAAACTGCTTTATTTTCTACTTCCCTCACTGGGTGATTTTATCTATATTGAATTTATCTACATTTTTATCATGTATTTTCATGAGAAATGAATGAGGCTGCAGATGGAATGAAAGGCCATAAAAAAAGTATTTTGAATCTTTTGTTTAGAATAGTGACAAAAGATATTCGTCAGTAGCAATGAATCATACCAATTAGGCCTAAATGAATCCACACTCGCTTCTTTTTGAGCTCTAAGGACTTCTGTAAAGTAAATATATTATCTGTACATTATGTCTTGTCAGATGAGTACTTTATGCCTGTGTGTTTATGGCAGGTTACGCATGGCTGGTCACATGGCATCTGTTAGACATAATGGGCTAGGGGCTAGGTTTAGGAGCGGTTGCCGTTGGAACTCACCCTTCAGAAAATTGATGCACAGGGGATTGTTTTGTTGCGAGTTTTTGCCACATGCCATATTATTTTTGACACATGCTGAAAGGAACAATCAGTTGAGAATATACAAACCTGATTGTTGTACTAGATTTATTACTTTTTGGATATGAATACCTTTTAGCATATTCTTTAAAATGAATACCTACAGTTGACTGTTTAGACAGTAATGGAACTGCACAGACTTAAGTAGGCTAGAGAACAGAACCATTACCGTGTAGAATGTTGGGATTTACGTTGGCTGGTTGTCTAGACGTTGAATAATTGTTATCCAAAATATCCTTAAGATGATTTGATAGTGTATGTTGTGTCAGACTTTTCAATAATCGTGATGTCATGATGACATTTGTCGCCAGTAAAATAATCACTTTTTGAACTCAAGAGTGTTGGTGTTAAAAAACAGGTTGACACACCTTGTTTCAGTGATAGACAGTGTTGTTTCTTACAAAGTATATTTCAACCGTCTTACCATGCCACCTTATACAGATTTCTTTGCAAAAAGTAAACAATGAAATTTCATGTATATAGATTGGCATAAGAAATTTTGTACATCAGAATAGACTCATGCTTACTATGTGCATGATCTGAAAACATGTAATTTTGAGTTGAAACGAATGACACCATTAGAGCCTCAGCGAGATGTGAGCTTGTGGAAAATCTAGACTTGCTTCATAAAATGTGATTAAAGTAAGCATTGATAGTGAAACTGATAGTTTTTTGGTGACTAAATTGTGGAGTCCATGATGGTTCCTGACATTTTATTTAGGGAAACTTTGATAATCAAATAATTTTTTTTTTTCAACATTGGAGTTCTAATGTGATATGTGATGAGGCCCCTATGCTTCTTATTTGTTTTTTATCTTATAATCCCAAAGAAAGTACACACATTTTTGAAAGAATATTACATTTTACTATTTTCTTAATTCCCAGTCAGTCCATTGATTAAAGACTTTTTAATAGGATCAAATGCTTAAATAAGGGCCATGCTGGCTAGTAAATGACTTTTGTGACTGGAGCTAAGTTGCTAATCCTATTATTCTCCCAGACCCTCCAGCATTCTTCCACTTTTTACTTCCCCTCCCGGTCACAGCTCAGTGACCACATTGCCCCCAGCTATGCTGATATGTTGGACGACCAGGTGCTAGCCATACACCTGAATCCCAGGTCTCACAGCCACCAGCCAAATCCATTACAGAAAGTTTACAGGTGTTCAACACTTCACCCAGTTTGATTTCCGAAAACACTTGCTGCAATATTGCGATAACGTTATCACAGTTTTTCTCATCAACTTGTCATGAAGAAGTCTTTAACATAGGCGGTTCCTGCCCTCTGTAGAGTATTTAGAACAGATACTATTAGAACCAGAGATTGAAATAGCTCCCTGTCTGCTACACTGAGGCCAAGTAACTTGTCTGTCTGGATAGGTGAAATTTATACATACTTGCCCAACTGTCTAGTTGTAATTTCATTAATTGACTGACAATTTTGAATCAGACATTGATCAGTGACTTTTACCATTACATGACATGACATTTTACATTAGCTTCCTCATGAATATTTAGCTGTACATGTCAGATTCAGAGAAATCTTAGAAAAAAAAAGATTATCATTTTATCCACTACAGCAGCTGATTATAAATTTTGGCCTGCAACGTTCAACATTGTCTTGTTACATTTACTGGTCACAGTCTGCCTGGCTTGTTGAGAGTAAAACAATATTTCAGACACTGATTAGCCATTGTAGATAAGAATCCTGATAAATGCAGTGTTCACGAATAGCGTCTGACCCTCCCTCCCTCTGACAAATCCGGCAGATTCACCAACGGTCAGACAGAAGTCTACAACCCGCCGGCCCCAGTGTCTGACTGCATATTTCACAATGACTTTGACAGAAGTTGCTATATGTGACATGTGACACTTGTTTGCTGTTTATAAATCTTATGTTTGTTAATAATTTCAATGTCAGTTATAAGAAATATTAAATCTGAAATGTGTGTTTAATTTTATTCTATGGGTCCTGTGCATTTTCAATGGGTCAGACAGACATCTGAAACTTACAGGACCCAATGTCTTGTGACTTTGAAACACCATTCGCGAACACTGTAAATGAAACCGTGGTCATGATGTCAAGCACTGGATTGCTTGGCCCAGACTCTAATAGTTACAGACTGCTGGATTTGGCTGCATATTGCAGAGTGCAGGGTTAAACAACAAACACAAAGTTCTTAATATCGTCATAAACAAGGTTGTTTCAGACAAGTCAACTCCCATGTTCTTGAAGAATGTCTCAGAAATGATAAATGTCTCACTACCTATCGAAGATAAATTTGAAATGTGAAACTAATCCTTAGATTTGATGTATCAGTTTTAACCCTTGACTTTTGCCATGGTCAACTATGATGTAATATTGGCTGTTGCTGGTGAGTGACCAACTTGACCCCAGGAAGCAAAGACAATGTGTGAGTGACAGTGATAAAGCCAGAGCCATTCATTGTATGAAGAAATATTGGTTACCATAGTAGCAGGCACTTGTCACCCTTTACGTCAGTAATAGTTCACTGATAGTTTACTCAGCGATTGTACCAGATACTAGAGGATGCTGGAAAACATGTTTAAACCATTCAATATAAATGCTAAACTCAGTGATCTGCCAAAATTAAAACGTTTGTAGCTTTTTGAAATTTGGCCCATTTTGTAAAGACATTTGACGTAAGAAGCCAGGCATATAGACTTGATTTCTTGTTGCCAGAAACTGTTGTCTCAGATAACTTGACAACTGTAGGATCTATTCCTAGTGACAATTTTTGAATTTCTTCATACAGATTTTGATGAATGATGACAAATTTGGTTCATGGACTGTTGCTCAAGCTAGTTCACCAGTGGTCAGGCAGATTGATCTGTAGGTCAAAGGTTACATGATGGCTGAAATGACTTTGGCAAGTTCCTTGACAATAAATCTGACATGTAGAGATCTTTTAATCCATATTCATTGATATTTTGATATATAGTTTCATTGAATTATGTTTTCAGACATCAATATCTATTGCGACTACTCACGCTGAATCGAGGAGTGTGGCCTAATACAGGCATTGTAAATATTCAGCTCGTGGGTGGTTATATTTAAAATAAAGGTGTCTTATATATAGTAATTTCTTTATAAACTAAATAAAAGAACTTTCAAAAGGAATTTTGTTAAAGAGTAGTATGGTTGAGATAAGAACAAGTTCCATGGCTTTGTTTTTGGGCTGGTGGGCTAGCCTGGTGGTTAAAGCGTTTGCTCATCAAGGCCACCAGGTCCGGGTTCGATTCACCACATGGGTACAATGTTTGAAGCCCATTTCTGTTGTCCCCTGCTGTGATATTGTTAAAAGTGGAGGAAAACTAAACTCACTCACTCACTGTTGTGTTGTTTGTTCCAGGTTTGACAACTACTCTGCCAATGTCATGGTAGATGGGAAACCCATAAACTTAGGACTATGGGATACTGCTGGCCAGGAGGATTATGACAGATTGCGACCCTTGTCATACCCACAGACTGTATGTACCATTCTTACATACATCATTATCTTCCCACTGATAATATAGTGGGGATATTGTACTGTTGACCAACATTCAACCAACCCTTGTCATACCCCCAGACTGAATGCCCATTCTTACACACACCTTATCTACCCACTGATAATATAGTGGGGATATTTTACTGTTAACCAACATTCAACCAACCCTTGTCATACCCCCAGACTGAATGCCCATTCTTACACACACCTTATCTACCCACTGATAATATAGTGGGGATATTTTACTGTTAACCAACATTCAACCAACCCTTGTCATACCCCCAGACTGAATGCCCATTCTTACACACACCTTATCTACCCACTGATAATATAGTGGGGATATTGTACTGGTAACCAACATTCAACCAACCCTTGTCATACCCCCAGATGTAGTAACATTCTTACACACCTTATCTACCCACTGATAATATAGTGGGGATACTGTACTGTTAACCAACATTCAACCAACCCTTGTCATACCCCCAGATGTAGTAACATTCTTACACACCTTATCTACCCACTGATAATATAGTGTGGATACTGTACTGTTAACCAACATTCAAACAACCTTTGTCATACCCCCAGATTGTATGTAGTAACATTCTTACACACACCTTATCTACCCACTGATAATATAGTGGGAATACTGTACTGGTAACCAACCTTCCCAGTCTCTAACACTTATCAGTCTGTGTTTGTAATATACTGAGGGAATCAAATAAGGGAACACCGCATCACAGCTTTATTCAAAGCTGATGATGAAAACTGGAAAATATTAAAGGAATGCTTGAATTTTCCTGTGTTCCTTTATTTGTTTCTCTCAGTATATCATGTCTATATCCGAGACAAGGATCACTTATCAACAAGATTAGGTAAGCTTGAACATGTCAGTTATGTAATTCAGTTGCCATTTTGAAAATCTACTGATGTTATTAATATTTATCATTCATTGATAGTATAGGGCCATAACATGAAGGACTATTCTACCTTTAATCTGCATCCCTGCTGATGGCATTGAAACTAGTGTCTAATTTCTGATGAGTATGTGAGATTCCTGTGTATGTGAATCCAGCACGGACTAACCAGCTGTTGTTTGTTTTTCAGGATGTCTTCCTCATCTGTTTTTCTCTTATCAGTCCTGCCAGTTTCGAGAATGTGCGAGCAAAGGTAAGGCAGTGAAGACAGAAGTGCCATCATTTTGTCCATGGTGTATCAACACCAGGCTGCAGCTATATGGTGGTGTCTCCCCAAATAAAACCTCTGTATTTCAGTCTGGGGAAAGAATGTTTAGAAAGAATTAATACTAAATAGTGCAGTGGTTTGGTAAATGTTCTATAAATTAAAGTTTCAGGTGGTTTCACTTGAAAATTGAACAGCATGAGTAGTGGTTTTGTGAGAGATGATCTAAAATGTTTTACATATCTTAGGTTCTGTACAGTAGCCTGTTTATTGGCTGCTAGTAACATTTTCAGAAGGCTAGTTGAATATGGAAGCCCAATAGAGACTAACTGTTTTATATTCCATAAGTGCCTAGGGATTCTGTAAAATGTTTATTTGTTGGTGAAATCAAACATTTTAGATGATAGATGTGCTGAAAAAATGTGTTACAGGAAAGAAATAAGATTGGTCAACAGTGAGTGCAAACTATACATTCCTGAACATAAGACTGGACCCCTCAGATAATGGCGTGCCTTGTATGTTTAGTAGTGGTGGTCCGATTAATTGAAATAATCGAAGATTGGTCGCAGTGACTAAACGACCAAGCAATCAATCATGTTTTCTCATATTGAAACACAAACAATGCTGGAACACTTGTTTTCATTAACAAAATATTTCACAAGGCTGGTTTTGTCTGTTACATTTCATAAACACTACAAACTCATTCCAAGTCATGATTGAATTTTTTTATCTTAAAGAGTCCGAAAAATTTATGTTCATAACATACTAGTCATCCTTTAAAGATGTGGAATTTTGCCCCAAAACCCCAAAGAACTACATGTTTCTTCCTTATTTTTGTGTGCATAATCAAATTTCATAAATAACACTAACCAATTATTTTCGATGATTGATCTGTTGTAATGAAGCAATCATCAATTATGAGATTTTAACCAATTCCCAACACTAATGTTTAGCCACAAATCCAAACACAAGTCTTGTATAGTTTTGTTGAGTTGTGCAAGTTCAAATTTAAGGACAATGTATCAGTAAATATTATGACACTATAATCTCCTGAAGATGATACTGACAGCCATGTAAAGAATAGTGAACTCAAAATTGTGTAGCACTGACAATTTAAGACATGGTCTCTTGGTGTTCTGGATAGTTCAGATAAAATTTAATCCTGAGACCAGACCAATTTTATTTCTTGTTTTACGGATCCACCTGTCACATGTTTTCTAGAATTAAAAAAAATAATTTAATTTTCCCCGCTCAAAATTTCAATCCTGGTGTTTTTATGGGCCAAAAATGTAACTTACAAGGAAATATTTTTTGCCCCATATACACTTCATAAATTGCCAAAAGTAAAATATTTTGAGTAGTTAGAAGGAATATTACTTTGACTGGTGATTTTATTTTTATTTTTTTTTCCTCCTGCCTTTAGGTTTTCTGAGGATAAAAATCCGTAAACCAAGAAATAAAATTGGTCTGGCCTGAATTAAAATTATTTTGTGTGGGTTTTTTTTATATTCACTCATTAAACTCTGATTTTTGTTGCTGTCACAATGTATTGTTTGAAGTCACAGTACTTGACACACGAGATGACAAATCTCCAAACCAGTTAACATTAAACCAAATGATAAAGGATAGGCTGTAGCTGTTGGGGATCAGAGCAAGTCAGTGTTTGTAATTATTACCTTGTGTGGCAGACAAATCTTTATCTTTATCTCTTTAGCTGTAGAACCAGTTTATATAGTACGATGTTATATTTGTATACACCCACTAACTAATTGTAAAAAGACAGTTTTCTTTCTCAACAGTGGCACATTGTGAAATACGGTATTGATATTTATGATGAAAGTGGTTTGATATACCAGAGCTCCAGATAAGATTTAGCTCATGTGGGTCCTGTACCCACTGTATTTTTTTGGAGTGGGTATTATTAATGTTGAGTGGGTATTTCATTTTCCGTTACCCGCTGCTTTCAAACATGTGCGTATTTCAGACATTTTACTCACCTAAGTATTATGTGACTGAGTAAGTTTACTAAGCAGGTATGTCCTGCCTTATGACTATGTCATACCTAATCAAAACCAACTTAAATATAATGGAAATGAGTTCATAAAAAATCACTCATCCTAAATGGACAGTACAGCACTTGTCCTATACTAACAGTACAACTTGATAGCAATCGATGTCTTTTTCATTACGCAAGCGATTTTTATAAATATATTCCGTACGCATTTGTTTTAAACTTTTTTCGTATCTAACATTTTAAATGTGTAATTGGTACGCAACAATTATTTTTTAATGCGTAATTGGAAATTTTATATGCATATTTTACCCGGATATGCAGCTTATCTGGGCCTCTGATATACTTTAGGTTTTAGATCTGACATTACTGGAAGAGATGTCAATTAGACAGTAATAACTGTACACGTTTCCCCAGCACATAACCCTAATCTGCCATCTATCATACCCTCAGTTTTAATTGCCTCATTATCATCATTAATTATAATTATACATATCATTATGGAGGGATAAGGTCACTGGGTGTTTCGGGGGAGGTTACACTTGTTTCAAGAGGAAATCATAACTTTATAATAATTTCATTTTGGATAGAAATATCAACTTCTGTACCAGTTCATGTCACTCATTAGGAGAAATATATCTTAGCAAATCTTTCATTCTTATCTATATTAATGAGCGATGCCTTTTTAAAAAGATCAAGACCTTGATCTAGAGAGCATACATATGCATGATATGTTTTGAATTATCATCAAGATGGCAGTAATCAGAAATTCAGGCTTTCAGATGGGTTCTTTTTCCATGACTTGGATGATTCTCATAAGAAATGTACCAAAGATTATTTAAAATTTTGGTAATGAAATAGAAGAAAATCATGTTAAATTTGATTGTAATATGAATATGTCCTGATGCCATTTATGATGTAACTGTATCACTGACAGTGTTAATTTGCATATTTACTTAGAAGATGTCTATTATTGTTACTATGGTTTCATTTAAAGTACAGTTGCAGCTTATGTTTGTGTAATGTTACTGTTTGTTACATGTATTAAGTAAAGTTGTCGCATTTAGAGAAGCAGCTTGTCTTGTCAATCATGCAATGGGGAAATCATAGCAAACACATTTTGCTTTACATAGTGAAATATGTGTACAAAGGCTACAGATTAACTGCCTTTTACCTTTATATTGTGCAATGACTTTCATCTTTGCGGATAGTGTGCACACATTGAGATAGAATATTTTTTTGATAAGCCTGATTATTGATCTGCCTGAGTACTTAACATCTGACCTGTCCAGGCCCTCAGTAACCAATACTTGTTGTACGAGGTGACTTGATAGAGCATGTGTGGATTGTTGCTAATGATATCAGTTGGAAGTTTTTCTTGTCCTGACTGGATTACATCATGGCCACCTTCTTATAGCTGGAATATCGCTGAGTGTGGCATTAAACAAATATCAAACAAGTACAATGTCACCCAAAACTTTCTTCACTGAAATACAACTTCTTCTTTCAGTGGTACCCTGAGGTAAGCCACCACTGCCCCAACACTCCGATCATCCTTGTGGGCACCAAGCTTGATCTACGAGAAGACAAGGAGACAGTGGAGAAACTGCGGGAGAAGAAGCTATGCCCAATCACCTACCCACAGGGACTAGCAATGGCAAAGGAGATCGGGGCTGTTAAATACCTTGAATGCTCTGCTCTCACACAAAAAGGTCTAAAGAGTGTATTTGATGAGGCAATTCGAGCTGTGCTCTGCCCCAAACCCAAGGCTAAGAAGAAGGGAAAGTGCAGGATCTTGTGAGCTGGGCTTGTATTGTGGAAGGAATTCTTTCATGTAAAGCTATATACATTTTATATCATGCACTGCATGGGTTTTGTCATTGAGTCTGAACATCCCTCTCTCATCGCCCTGTAATATACAATATACATTGATCTTTAAGTAACCGTCTCCATCATAGTAGAATATGTGTACAAATTTATATATAGTCTTGTTTTTAAGGTGTTAACGAGATGTATATGTACAGGGCCTGAGCCTGATGTCCACAAATGCTGTATAGAGTAGTAACTTTTGGAAAGCAACCCTTTTGTAAATTATTCTTTTGTATTGACTGAGTAGGGTTTATCTGCCACAGTACCGAAGGTTGTTATCCGGTGTTAGAGGACGTGATTGGTCAAGTGTTGGCTTCAGGTTCTTTGTATAGAATTTTGAAAGTAAAATTGAGGATCAGCTGAGATGTGCCTTATAAGATGTTCAGGGCTGGAAGCTTTGTGTTGCCCACTTTACAGAAATATCAAAGTGTAATTTTTCAAGCCAATAGCTAATTATTAATCGCTAGAATATTATCTGGGACTTTTTTTACATTTTTAATTTAAGCTTAAAGCCAGAAACAATTTCCAAATTATCTCAGGCTTGCAGGTAGTTAAGAATGCCTCCACTTCTATCACCAGTTCATCATTTGAGAAGTCATATTTTCTAATTTTAGAAGGAAATGCTATTTTGTCTGCAGTTTTATCACTGATATAATGTTGATGTACCTGGACACATATCTAGCAATTAATTTTGAGTTATCAGTCAAAAGTTCTAAAATTTGTACCACCACCATTAAACAATTCAATCCAGACTAGAGCCCCTTCTAGGCATTTCTTTATGCTGATAATATCTTGCCATCTCTGAATATTCAACATCTATTAAACCAGTCAATTGAAACTACTGAGACTCTGCATGTCCTAGTAAATAATACATTCTGCTTTGGCAGTATTTAGTGTTTGATCCTCCTTCGCTATTGTGGGTGTCTATTTCTTCTTGCAAGTATATATATATTGCTGCATCACTCTAGCTTTGAGAATGTGCTTATTGTAGATACCCTGTTAAAAGTACCAAATATCAAGTGAATTATAACAAGTTGAGTGATGTTATGAACAATGTGTTTGCGAGACGTTGTTCCTTTGCTGTACATATTTATATTAAAATTGTGAACCATTATCGGAAAATTACTTGATCTTGACGCTATGATCATAACAGAATTTCTGTTAACCGTTTCTAAAAAAATTCATCTTTCAGGAGTAGGGACCAAATGTTTGCAGTTTGGTGCAGATGGAACAATTTTGGATGTTTGGAATTAAAAAGTCAATGTCGTATGATCAAATATATGTAAGAATGTTAATGTAACTATTCCTGAATTCAAAGAGACATAGTTTGGATTAAGTACAGTGCCACTTGTTTTACAAAGACTTTTGAAGCACAATTTTCTGTTTAATTATTGTACATTTTCTATTTATGGAAGTGATTGTTAATTTTATGTGTAAGCAGCTGTTGAAACTATGAATGTGATAATTTTTAACAGATTAGAGGTTTATTTGAGGTTGTCTCAAGTAAAAGAATGTTTGGCATGTATACTTACTCAGTGATTGTGTTAGAAGGAAATAGTCTGTACATGTTGTACTGATTTGTAAAGAACAGTAAGCTCTTATGTAGAAGTCTTCCTTTGGTAATATTTGTCAAAGTGTAATTTTTGCCGCAGCTGTTAAACATTGGTAAGGAGCGTTGTATTTTGCAGCAATGTTTTTTTATGAACTGTAAAGTGTAAAGCTTAACTTTGTACTATGAAATATAGTATTCAGTCACTGTATGTATCGATATGATGTCCTTACCACAGACAGATAAAAGAGAAAGGCATTGTGCGAAACTATTTCACAGTACCATTGAGTTTGCTAAATTGTTTGCTGTTAAGCCAGATGTAGTTGTGTCACTCCTTAGCTTTTCATACAAGCATAGATAAATAATGCTTTTGGTGATACTTTAGGTCAGAATTGGACCTAAAGACAGTGATTATGACTATAATCAAAATTCCTGTAACCAGTTGAAGGTGAATGTGATGATAAATTATTAAGCACTCTTGGGATATGGTGAAACAGAAAAGATTCAACTTGTCAAATCTCATGGTGTATTTTTTTCCTTTCATTTTTTATGATTTTAGAAAGGGTCAATATATGTTACTGAGATCATATGTACACACTCTCATTTTTTTATACAAAATATTAAAAATATGGATGTTCTATTACTCAGTTTCTTCTCAAATTAGTAACAGGTTACTAATATAAATCTTAGTAATTTGAAAAGGGGAATAGTTTCCATATGCTACAATACTGTTGGATTTGATTTTAGTAGTTCTTTGGAATATATGATCTGTTGAATTTGTCTAGAGATTTTAACTTGGTCAAGTTGGTGTCATCACTGACTTTTTTGTTACTGATTGTGAAGTGTGGCTTTCTTAATGAGCAATTCCGTGTGTAGAACACAGGTCTACCAGCTTAGCAGTGGTGTAGACAATGACGCATCATTTTATTGTGTAAATTGTCACGATTGTACATTCAGCTAGGAGACTTGTGTCACGAAAATGGTATATTTTTGCTAAGAAATTGCATAGTAAATTGTATAAACACCTTCTCAATGTCTTTGTATGGGAACTATTATGCTAACTTGATTAAAAATCTTTCATCTTTACTTGGTGTTACAATTTTTTCTTATCATTCAGTCATTAGGGCTGTGGGATGACCCAGTGGTTTGAGCGTTTGTTTATGATGTTGAAGGCCTGGGTTCAGCTCCCTATTGGGTACAATATGGGATTCCCATTCTGTGTGCTCCTGTGGATGATGTTGAAATAAAGGGGAGAAAATTTACTCTCTCAGTGGAGAATTGTTGCATCGACATTTTAGAACTTGGTGATTAAAGAACTAAACGTTAGACTTTATGGAAAACAACTTCTTGTTTATTGCGTAGAGCAATGTTGTGATTTAGATTCTTACGCTGTTATCAAACTAAAAGTAATGTGTTATCCATAAAGTCATATTCTTAGTTGTTCACTCATTTGACTGACTGACTGACTGACTGAGTTTGGTTTTACGCCGCTTTTAGCAATATTCCAGCAATATCACAGCGGGGGACACCAGAAATGGGCTTCACTCATTGTACCCATGTGGGGATTCTAACCCGGGTCTTCGGCGTGCCGAGCCAACGCTTTAACCACTAGACTACCCCACCGCCCCTCACTCATTGGAAGATATTGTTTATGGTTCTGTCTCACATGTATCTAATTCACTAAACTTTGTACCATCACACAATTTAGTGTGTTCCGTTATGTTGTATGTTCACCAATTGTAATAGAATGGACAGTGATTCCCATGCTAAACTCTTTACAGTGACAGGAGATGGCCTCAAATAGCTGCACAAAGTGTCTTATAACATTTGACATTCAGGGACTTAACTGACTGGATTCAGCATTGCCACTCTACAGCTGAATCACTGCATGTTGGATGATTGAGTCTGGTTTCAAGTCACTTTATTAAATATTCCAGCAACATCATGATGGGGGACACCTGAAATGGGCTTCACACGTACCTATCTTGGTAATTGAAGCCGGTCTTCGGCGTGACGAGCGATCGCTTTAACCACAAGCAGAGGTACAGATAAGCTGCGTATCTGTGTAAATTACGCAAATATTTATGTGAAAACTCAATTCCTATTAAGTCTTGCATACAAGGACGCTTCAATTTTTGTAAATGCTCAATAGATTTGATATTACATGCGTACGCACAAAATAGATTAAATAACTGAGGCATATTAAGAGTTTCTATATCAGCACCTGGACTTGGCAACTTGCAGTCTTTCTGGTTGTTTCTCATATAACAGATCAAATATAAATAACAAACATGTGAACCAACATTTAAACTTTAATATATTTTTACAGTTAATGGAAAATGGCAAAATACCCAATTGCGTTTGAGTAAGGTGGATACAATGTTTTTGGTTACTCAAAGGAACATTAGGATACCCAATTGAGATGAACACAAGCGAGTGCATAACTCAATGACCCAAAAAGTTATCTGTAGCTCTGATCACAAGGCTAGCCCACTGTCCCTGATTATTTTGATGTTTAATACAACACTCAGCAGCTTGAGTTTGAACCAGACAATCAGTGATCGATATTGTGAGCTAGTGTTGCGATAGGATGACACAGTCAGCCATGTCACTAGGGCTGCGCAATATAACCGGTTTACGGGTATTTACCGGTTCAGACATGAAAACGATACGTATTGCGATACGCTGATCGAAAACCGGTATTTTGACATGCATTCGGAAAACTTCGTAACACTCGGAAATCTTCGGAAATTTCCGCTTTTTAAGTTGTTCTTTTCCTTGTTTCATTAGTGCCAAATATTACTTACATTTTTATTTTGTCATGATTAAAAGTTTTTATTAAAGGTGAATCAATCATAGTGATTTTGTTGTGTGTTTGCTTTATAATCAAGCATTAACTCGATTATAAGTAGTTTTTGTTTAAAAACATAATTCTTGCAATTTATTGCAATACATATCGCAATATATGCTTTCGCATCGCAATATATCACAATATGAAAATTCTCTGCAATACCCACCTCTACATGTCATTGACCACCTGATTCATCTTGTCACCATTTACCATGTTTACAATCAGCACTGGGGACTACTTGGGGCCTTCCCTCTCCCTGAATCCCACAGGGGATGGATCACTGCAGGCCCCTGAAAGTAATCATAGTTAATGTATTCAAGCCAGTGTGTCATAGGGATTCTTTATGATTGACAAACTGAACACGGTAATCACTGTGGCCAACTGCAGTTGCAGGTTATGGCAGACAAGAAGTGAGTATAGTTGGTTTAAATAGGGCTGCCTATTGGTATAGATCATAGTGATTGATAATCATTAACAAAGGTCTGATCATTTTTAATAAATATCAAACAAGCAACTTTGAGCAAAAGTGTAGAATTAGTCCATTGAAAAAATTGACATTTCAGGTCAGTGGTGAGTGGTGGCATTTATGCATGGATTGCAACCAAAAAAGTATTCTGAACACAATTTACAGGCAGCTGATGAATAAAGATGTAACTTTGTGTATTGTATGTTTTAATTAAGACCTTATTTCATCACAATCATTTATGTAAGATATTATTGATGACGCAAATTTTCATGAATCTTTCCATCCATGATATTATCCATCTTTTAAGCCAGCTCTTGGTTTAAATTCAAAATGCAACTTTGAAACTAGTTTCAGTTCTGTTGTCAGCTTCTATGAAGGAAAGGGTGAAGTGATTCAGGTCTAGGACACCTACCACTGTGATTAAATCAACAAGTATGAGTATGGTTGACAAATTTAACAGGAGCATGGCAACCCATGAATCAAACCCAGTGTCTGGCATACCTAAGGGGCATAACTCATCACACGCCAAATTGAATGCCAGGGTGACCTGTCTTTTGATGGTCATATAGGGAGAAAAATCCACTGGTTCCATCATGTCACTGTATTTTTCTTGATTTCTCAATTATATTTTTATGGAAATATTGCATGTAAGTTAGAATTAAGCAAAATTAGACACACTGTCTTTTCTCATATACAGATATACAAATGTATATTGGTAACAGTATGTTAATATTAAAGATTAGTTCTTAACTAGCCTGAACCAAAGTAGACTAACTCTTAGTTCCTGAATATATGTAATATTGATAGTAACAAATAAACCCATTTAAATTGAAAAGGAGCCCAAGTGAGTTGGGAGATTCTGACACCTGAGGAAATCAAGACTTGCTTCATTTAGGGCTTTAGCATTTCAGAGAGGGCTTGGCAGTAGGGAACATAATGTGTTTCAGGGATTGTGAGACAGACTAGAACCAAAGGTGTACAGGAAGGTGTTTATGAGTTTGTTATGCAGTGAAAGTTTTATATTTCTAGATCTGTGAAACCACATGGACTAGGAATCTAAATCTGATTGCATGGTCTTCTAATGTAGTAAGCCATTTGTGTGAAAGGCAATATTTATATTGCTTTTGTCCCTATTGTTAACTGTTACTGAACATTTCTTTCTGTTGAGTTCGTAATATTTTATAGAGCTATCTGATGAGCTATGAGTCTTTTCTATAATTAGAGTGCCAACAGAGCAAATTGTTTCTGCAGAGTGAAGAAGGTTCATTTTCCTCAATGCAAAATTTATTCATAGCCTCAACTGTTGTATGAACCAGGAAGTAAAACAGGGATTGCCTGAATTATCAAATGCAGCGATAGTGTGATGTGTGTATGGACAAAGGCTATAGTCTACCATTTGGTGACTATACTGGAACCTAGTTGTCTCCCTTGGAGTTTAATTATCTGGTTAATTTTCCTGTGAATCTTGAACACACAACGGCCAAGACATCGAACTGTCTCTTAGCTGGTTAAGCGACTCTAGACCAGCAAATAATTAGTGATTACTGACAGTGTTTAAAAAAAGTAAAAGTGCCATACGTCTATTTTGTTATCTTGTTTTGAAAAGTTGCATGTCCGATGTCCAATTCCTTAATTTACCCAGGTATTCTACTTTTAACTGATGTAAGAGTAAACTTAATTGTAAACATTAAACCCTTTATTCGGTCACTTCCGGGTATGTTGATGACAAGGACGTTGACATCAGTTATACATGTGAAGGCCTGTAAGATATATCTGGTTACTATGACTACTGTTCGCAGGAAGCAAGTGTTCATGTTACCAACTTGTCATGTATCGGAGCACATTTTGTCGTCCTTGCCATTCTGTAATTATGCTGCCATTGGTTTTATGACTTCTATCGCTCGTAACAGTAAATCCCAGACTGAAAGGGACATGGAAGTCTGAGGGGTTCAGAGATTTACTGCATGTTGACTTTCATGTGAACATTTAGTGCGGTTGTGCACTTGAATCCAACAGTTACGTGGAAGGTAGGTTTTAGGGCTTAACACTTCAACGGTTATATTTATGTTTATTTGAATTGTGTTATATTTCCCCGTTTGAAGGAGGAAGTATCCCCGTGTATTGTGTTTACAGTAAAAATGTTTTTGGTTTTGTTAAGAACAGCAAATTTGAGATCCTGGTGTGATATTTCATGAGCTGGACTTTCAATTAGACAGTGCTGAACCGTTTCTGGTTTAAAGTACTGTCGGAAATGCTAGAAAAATGCTTTTTGACTTATATTGAAAATTCAGAGGTATTACAGTTACTTAAATAACAAATATCACTTTAAGAAGCATCTACCTAATGTAGACCGAGGAAATAAATTTTGAGACATGCCCTAAAATGTGTTTTTACTGATGAAAATACCAAAAATAAGGGGTAGTGGGACGTTATTTGATATAAACATTAACTGCCTGTGTTACGTCATCAGCATGCACGGTATCGACAGGTGATATTGACACCTGAGCACACACGTTCGGGCGAGGGGTCATCTCAATAGATGTTTTCTTCAAAATGTTGAATATGTGTACGTATTGTATACGTATTGGTTATGTAAGGGATCATCTGTGTATGTGTTTGTTTTGAAATAAACATACGAATTAATGTACATTTGAAAGAATCCTGTCACTTGTGTTATCTTATTGATTGATTGTAGAAATGTGCAACGTTTTAATAAATGTTTTGCATGTCAACAGTATATTTCATTGCAAAAATATGGATGTAATTCGG